AATAAAATGCGCAGGACAGTATACTGTAGACTTAATAAATATTAAGATGAGCAGGAATGTACAAGAGAAGAATGTGCAAACAGGTTGTACAGGGTAGTTACATAGCAGCAATAGAGGTAAAAAGTAAATAAATAAAATATTACAGAAATTGCTGTGTGCAAGTGACAATGTCTGTATATTAAGTGTCATACTGATAATTAAGTGAAGTCATGTTGGTGTTAAGAGACTGAGTTTGAGTTTGAGTTTGAGTTTAGGAGCCTGATGGCCTGGGGGAAGATTGTTCCAATCTTCAAAGATCAATCATTTTTATGTAATGCTGATCAGCTAAGGAAAGAACAATAATTGAAACCAATTAAGTTTTTTCAAAGGGGTCATATGACGTTGCTAAAAAGAACATTATTTTGTGTAAAGAGAAAGGAAAAATTGAAATCGCATCATATGACCCCTTTCAAGTGTGTACAGTGCAGCCATAATGCCAAGTGGAAGGGGTCCAGCTCTAACAGCTGTTCCTATTGTTCATTCAGAGAGATGACCTTATAGGAAAGTGCCCATGGTGTCCCATCCCATTTCCCCCTCATGCAGCCGCTTTCACATTGGCCTTACCCATCAGCACTCTGTGTGCTTTAGGAATTCAAGCACCCACGGTGGCATGCAACATTATGCTGGACCTGGTAACCATCGCCTATCACCACGGAGCCTTGCGGCAAGTGGCGGGGGCCCGGCAGGTGTTTGATGGCCCCCGGCCTGTCCGCAAGGATCCACAAAGTTAATATGAATGAGAGCAAAGGAGATACTAGCTATTGCCATTTATCAATGATGGGGTTGGTCCAGGCATCCAGTAACCCTCAACACACTTCTCTTAAGTGGCCAATCATGCACAAAACCAGTGATTTGTAGATTATAGATTGTATATTGTATATTGCCTTTTGACTGATACAGGTTATTTTGATGTTTAAGTGTCTGATAACTGATATTTTAAATAATTAAATAATAATGTAATTTTTATTCATATTTTTGACAATAGCTATGATGATTTATTATTATTATTATTATTATTATTATTATTATTGATTTATTTAATTAAAAATAAATTTTAAAATGATATAAATGTGTGTGTGTGTGTGTGTGTGTGTATATATATATATATATATATATATATATATATATATATATATAT